AACGTACTGTACTTTATTTAACATTAACTGCTCCATTCTGTTCTCCTTCTGTTCAAGACCATCAGAACAGAACAATTTCAAGGGCATCAGCATGTGTGTTTTACACACACAATAAAAGCTACATTCACACAGCATGAAAAACATAGTTTTGTTAAATCATTCAACATAATAAAGCATAATTACATATAATTTTAGAGCAATAACTAAAATATTTAAGATAAAATGATAAAAACATATTCAAATCAACACTCTAAATAATGCACAAAACAGATTTTTAAAAATACTTTTGATTTAGCATGCTGCCCAAAGTCAGAACGCAGAGGGCAGCTGATCTAGATGTATAATTGAAATCAAACTCCCAGTCGACTGTAACCCAACGCGGTGCCCTCCACTCATTTCATGCTCTGAGTGGATTTCACTGGGCCTCACTTTTGAGCCGTAACTGAAGAAAACCAGGCAGGCCAAAATAAGGAAGCAGGATTAGGAGTCAGGGCATAAATCGATAAGACATAATGAAAGGCTAGAAAAAAGGTGCAGAGCTTCAATTTCACAATCTGCTTCTCTGCCTACACACACACACACACACACACACAACTGGACCGAACACACTCTTATTCTCACACAGAGGCCTGCAGCCAGGCCTGATTACTCTTATTTTCAGGAAGGAATAATGGAAGGCTAGAAAAAAGGTGCAGAGCTTCAATTTCACAATCTGCTTCTCTGCCTACACACACACACACACACACACACACAACTGGACCGAACACACTCTTATTCTCACACAGAGGCCTGCAGCCAGGCCTGATTACTCTTATTTTCAGGAAGGATTCATGCAGAAGGTGAATATCCAGCTTTAGAGAAAAGCTCTGGAGTGTTTACGCTGGGTGCCGCTGTAGATGACCTACCAGTACGGTCGACAAGCTTAGACACAGAAGCTTAGACTCAGACACTGATAAACACACAACAATACACATGCACTCTTGAACTTTGTTTTTGCTCTCTTTACTTCACTGTCCTCTCAGGGGCGTAGGAATCATTGTAACTTTCTAAGTTTGACTAGTCTCAACTTTTTGGGAGATAATCATTGTATTCTAACAGCTTTGTTTTGCTTGGCCTCGGTGCTAAGAAGGAAAACTGTAGCTGCATATGTAAAACAATGGCTTTATGACTGAATGGCAGTAGCCTGAATGAACACGCAAATGGTAAGTGGTAAATCCGTCTGTGCTCTTTTTAATTGTTTTGAAAAGTAAACATGCTAGATTGATGTCTTTGATCATTGCACCTAGCATAGATGTTCTTTAATGCAAGAGCTCATCCCCTAAAATAGCTAGAACCCACTTGGCTTCAATTATTTAAAACTACTGGGTGAATGTTACATCATCTAATTAATATTCATGAGACAGGCTGATGAGGTTTTTAATGTGTCTTCCTCAACTTTTTAGATCAATTCTGCTCTCTCTATTCTCTATAAAACATCAGAAAAATGGTAAAGTGTGTAAATTCTGTGCCACTACTAGGACCAAAGAGTATTGCAATTTCTTTTCTTTTTTGTAATGGCCTGGGATAACAATATTGACTTCGGGGCGGACTTCCTCTTTGGTCAGTAAGATCTTTTTCTTTTTCTTTTTTTAAAAGAAATGAATACCTTTGTTCACCAAGGATGCATTAAATTGATCAAAAGTGACAATAAAGACATTTATAATGTTACAAAAAAGATTTCTATTTCAAATAAATGTTCTTTCTATTCATCAACAAATCTGTAATACTGAAAAAAGTATTACAGTTTCCACAAAAATATTAAGCAGCACAGCTGTTTTCAACATTAATAATAATAAGAAATACTTTTTGAGCATCAAATAGCATATTAAAATGATTTCTAAAGGATCATGTGACACTAATGACTAGAACAATGGCTGCTCAGCTTTATCGTCACAGGAATAAATTACATTTTAAAATATATTAAAATAGAAAACCGTAATTTTAAATGACAATGATATTTCACAATATTACTGTTTTTACTGCATTTTTAAATCAAATAATTGCAGCCTTGGTGAGCATAAGAGACTTTTCAAAAAATAAAATAAAATAATAATTTACTTTGAAGAAATAAAAGTATACATGCAATTAAGACAAAGTTTAACATGCATCAATCTATAAAACTAATAATTAGCCTAGCTCAGATAATTTGGTATCAGAGGAATTTGAAGAGAAATGTTTGAGGTCATATATTTAAATCACATGAAACGTGTATTTAAAAAGTAATATTCTGGCTTTTGATAGCAGACTGCTCAGGTTGTGAATCTGAGAATCAGGAGATTGAGAAAAAGTTTCCATTGAATCTCACGGCTTTCTAGGAGAAATAATTAAATATTTATGTGATCCTATTTGTAATTTTTCTTTCCTACACACCAGCCAGTTCCGCTTTTGCTAATACGCAGAATCTCTAGCTGAGTAAAGCCCCTGAATGAGAGCTGAAAATGGAAAGGCAGCACAGCTGTCATGTGGAGACCCTCAGTGATCTCTGATGCCAATAACCTTTTGCTCTCTGGAGGGCTGTGGCACTGCTGGGGCAAAACGAGCAGCAATAAGCGCTAATGCTTTCCTGTTTCCTCCATATTCCGATCATGCCAGGCTCATTCAGGGCCACTTTGTATGCATCCGTGCCCTGCTAGCAGCACAAACACTCAGTGCGGTCTTCTCCATGGACAGGCTTGCAGACTTTTACATGTGCTGTATGCATAATGCCCGGCTGGCCGTCTCTCTCCCTGCACTCCTCCATCAAGTGATTGATGTTTTGCTGTCACCAGCCTCTGAGAAAGCACTAAGCGAGTCGCTGTTCTCTCTGCTCGGTCTCACCTGAAGCTTTTTTTTTCTATTTTTATTTAAAAATGGAGTTGAAGAGAACAAGATTTGCTTCTTCTCACAGTCCAAAGGAAGGGTAAAGCAGTAGGGTGTAAAAATAATGGGTTATGTATGGATTCTGGAATGTGTGTAAATGAGAGAGCAGGGAATGTGACGTCCTCTGCCTCACCATAACCCTCGTGTTCCCTCGTGCCCCTGAGATGAGAACAGGGAGACTGCAGGACGTGTGAATTTGACAAAGGGAGCCACTAAGCAGCTTTCCTTCCCTCTGTGTGCGTCTTCAGAGCCCTTGAGAGATACACCAATGACTGGGGTGATGGCTGGGGAACACACTCCGGGCTCAGGATTGGGTGTGTGTGTGTGTGAGGGTGTAAAAACTGAAGAAATGATTTCCTGCTACCCAGAACACAGTATTCCTAAATACTCATCACATAAGGATAATTTTAATATAACTTATTAATCAGTGACGCACATAGAACACAACTATGAGGCACTACACTATCACCAGGGAACCGATAGCCTATTATAATATTTTTGTATGTTTATATGAACTTTCTATTTATGAATACCACATTATTTGAAAATCTCAAGTTCATAATAAATATAATATAATATAATATAATATAATATAATATAATATAATATAAATATAATATAATATAATATAATATAATATAATATTTAAAAAGTAAAATAAGCAAAAGTACATAAAAGAGATTATTATTATTATTATTTTTATTATTATTATACATAATCTACATAATAAAGCTTTTATTTGTCAGTACAAACTGTTGCTTTAGCTCATATCTTTAATAGTTACCAAATTTGTGCTCACAGATTATATTTTCAAATAATTTAATTTGATTTGGATGAGACCACAAGTGGGGACTTGTTTATTTTGTAATCAGTCCATCCATTTTCACCAGGTTGATTCATTCAGGCCAATTTGCAGACTGGTTGTGAACACAACAGATGTGTATTATGACACTGACAGAGCAATCAGCCAATCAGAGCAACACGAAGACGTTACTGCTGTGTTTATTTTTTATCTGATGAACACCTCTGAGAAGATATATGAGCGAAAGTATTATGGTGTAAAATAAAGTATTAAAGACATTGTTTATCATTTAGATCCAGAAATAAATTTGAAATTTATTGTATGTTTGTGTATGCATAAAAACCATTAGCTATTGACTATGTAAATGCTAAATCTGTTTTTTTTTTCTCCTCTGGCCTTCAGTCTAGGTAAGACTAGAACAATCAACTGGTGCAGAAATGGGAGACAAAGCACATAAAAACAGCATTTAAAGATTTACACAGACAATACATTACAGAGCGAATAATCGTTCTGCAACAATGAACCACTTTAGAAAACATGAAACACCGCATTCAACACAAGATTTATCCGCAATGGTGTATTTTTGTGCTCTGCATTGCCTATTATGCAGTAAACAGTGTGAAAGGAGCAGCCAGCTCGGCTTATAGGGTGAAAACTCAATCTGCATGATAGAGATTCGCCTCTTTTGCTTCTTTTTTTACACAGCGAAAAAATTGAAATCCTCAGTTATGTTGCCTTATGTATAATCTAGGCTTTTTTGCGGAAAAAGGCTGTAAAATGTCAGTAAATAGACATTTATAAGCAATTATGTTTTAATTCACCTGTGTTTTCTTTTTCTTAAGCTTCCATTTGTATAACAGAGAACAATCAGCAGAACATATGAGGCGAATGTATTGTAATCAGTGCTGCAAACAGACTTTTCTTTGTAATTTCATCATATCTTATTCTGATATTCTGCGGTTTAAAGTTAAAATGCTTTAAAGATTTTTTAATGATTTGTTTATTACAAAGACACAGCTTTTCACTTCACAAAACATTAATTGATGGACTGGAGTTGTGTGGATTACTTATGGATTATTGTGATGTTTTTATCAGCTGTTTGAACTCTCATTCTGACGGCACCCATTCACTACAGAGGATCCATTGGTGAGCAAGTAATGTACTGATAAATTCCAATTTCACACTTCACAGCAGTAATCGTACAACCATGGGATTCAGAGAGCAGCAGGACAGACAGACAGATACAGAGAAAAGGATAAAAAAGAGGAAGAAACAAAGACAACATGAGCCAGGATCTTACATTTCAACTCCAGGCGGATGAAATCCATGTTTCCAAGGTTTTCCAGGAACACGCCATAGGGAGCAGAGGTCTTGAAGTAAAAGGAGATATCAGCACTCGTTTCACCTTGAAAAGTGGAGAAGTGCAGGTATGAGGATGGCGTGTTGAATGATGCAGCATTCCAATAGCTTCCTGTAAAACGGATCAGAGAACAGGCCGAATGTAAGTTTCAACAGTTCTGCTTCTGAAGTCTGCAGTCAAGGTCCTTTTTATCCAATATCTGAACCTGAACAGCATTAAACCACCATGAAATTCACAAAAGCAAAGCTTTCGCTGACACAAAATGACTTATTGCATTGCAATTCTGCACTGTGTCCAGTCTTCAGAGGTCTCATATACTCAAAGAAACATCTGAGAAGTGACCTGTATAATCAAAAAACCCTTAGGAGGAAACCACCAAACAAGAGGAAAACAACAATTTAATCATACAAGTCAACTCTTGTCACAAATCTTAGTGGAGTGCACCATTCAGGACTTTAGCTAGTTCTTGCCATTACTTTGGTGAGTGCTGTGTATGTGACCACAGTTGTCTGTATGAGATTATGTGGTGCCTTAGAATTATTTCAAAGCCAGCTTGCCAACATCTTCCCTTTCCAACAGCTCTCATGGTTTGACCCCCACCCATCGTGTAATAGAGACACACTGAATCCCCACTTATCTGAGTGGAAGAGACAAAAATAAAGTATAATTTCTCTCTAAGATGATGAGTAGTGCATTTTTCAGGTAAGGGGGATATTTTGGGAGATAGCTGAGCTGAGGGATAAAGTGAGAGATCACTCAAAATCAAACACAAGTTTGAGGTAAGCTTATGTTTAGCTTGAATATCTCCAGAGCTTTGCTGTGGACAGTTATTAGACAATCTGTGGCTGGTTTTAATGTGTGGGTGCATGTGTGGGTGATAACATGCCAGCTCCCATTCGTCATTCTGGTGAAATATCTCCTTGTACAATTAAAAACAATATTTGCTACACTGCATTCTTGCATATAATTCCTGTTGACAAGTATGCAGCGTTTTGGATGCTAGCTTTTGCATCATCTGTGATTCTATAGACAAAAATCAGAAATGTATGATTAGCGCTAAAGACCTTCCATAAAGGAAAATAAGAAACTAAATATATAAATAAATAAAAACACCCAACTGCAAATATCCAAAATATTTATAATGTATTTGGGGTCAATAAGGTTTCTATTTATTTGTTTTATTTAAATTTTTTTTTGAGAGAAAAAAAAATACTTCAGCAAAGCTGCATTAAATTAGACAAATGTGACAGTAAAGGATATTGTTACAAAAATTGTTAAAACCTTCTCATTCGTCCCACCCCTTATTTAAAGAAAACAGGTCAAAAATAAATAAATAAATAAATAATAGTCCACTAGCTAAACCAACTTCAAATTAGCTTGGAAGTTCAGCAGGGCTTGTTTATAGGCACTTTCTTCCCATATTCAACAATGTCATAATAAATAAACAGCAGAATGTCTGACTGAAATATTTTTTTGCTCAGCTACTGGTTAAATGCTAAACCACAAACACAGTGACAGACACAAACACATTGCCATTAATAATGACTGAGATCAGATTTATCCCTAGACATTTACGGTGACTCATGTACTTTAAATCAGAAAGTTAAATAATGTCAGCACTCTCTGCTCTAATGTCGTGCATAAAACACAACTGTCGCAGAAGACAGAGAATAAAAGATCTAAGGAAGGAAAAAACAGAATGTGATGGAGAGGAACAATGTGATAACGGACCGGAGAGATATTAGAGGATGATGTCATCTCAAGACAGATGGAAACAAAGAGAAACGGAGAAAGAGAGAGAGACTACACTGTAAAAAAAGATTTTTCGAAGCTGTAAAAAAGATTATCAGACAAGATTTACAGGAAAAATACTATTTCAGTTTTATGTTTAATTCAAAGTATTGCTTGCCATTTTCTTGTATTTATATTTCTGAAATTTACTAGCAATTTCTGAGTGAAAATATTTGTTTCCAATTAATTTTTTTTGTAAAGTGTAAAGTTTAGTTTAATTCAGGATCTATTCTGTTTCATTTCTAACCAATGGGTCAAAGTTTAGCTGGTTAGCATGACAAGGAACTATAACATTCTGTATGTTTTTCCATTTATAGTCATTAAAAAAGCAGCCATGCATTCATATAAATTAGACGTGTTTAATTATATTACTGTATGAATCCTTAAATACAAACTTTTAACAATGAAAAAAATATATCAAATGAAAATTCTTTCACAATTTATTCCCCTTATGTTGTTTCAAACCTGTATGACTTTCTTTCTTCTGTGGAGCATAAAATAGTTTTTTGGTGAACTACCCATTTAATAAATCAGAAGTTGTTAACTATTATTGTTATTTATTATTACTATTATTGTATGTATCCTTAAATACACACTTTTAACAATGAAAAAAGTTTTTGCATGCAGCCAGTGAAGACAATGCAATAGAAAGATTGCCTTTGCATCCATATCACACAAAAATTCAGACTGCAAGTAGTTAAATTTCTGCAGAATTAGCAGCTGCAAAAGCATCACTGCTGTATAAAGCTACTGGTGTGTACCTGCAAAAAATGTTCACTCCATCAGCACTGAATGCCAGAGAAGTCAAGGTCCCATTCCATTTCTTTCTCACAGCCACCTATATCCCATAAATCTCTTTCTATACAAACAAAAAACTTACTAAACTTCATCCAATGCTTATTTGTCCCTGCACTCACTTGTTCTGTGAATAATGTGTTTCTGTGGTGACTGAAGTAGGAGGAGAAGCAGAGACGTTCACGAGCCCATTAGGGAGGTCTGAGCTTATCACAGCAGCACAGGAACAGCTCTTTTATTCGAGCTTGCTGAATGTAAGACTCTCAGTCTGTCCATCCATTAACACCCAATGTTCCAGCACATACTAATTTAATTATTCGCCGATTTGCAGAATTTTCGATGGGAGCTGGTGTTTTTTGGAACAACGTGGGGCGTTTTTAAATCAGGCTAATAAGGCGGTACATGCGGCTGATTAAATATGGCTCCTGCCATGCAACAAAAGGCAGTGAAACAATTGATAGTTCACCCTGTAGATGAGCCTCGCTCTCCTTCTTCAGTGAAGGATTACAATCTTGTGTTCGAAATGGAATGTTACACTGATTGTTTCAAAGCATCTCAATTTCACGCGTCACTTCTGGTTAGGATTTTTTTCTTTTTCGGATAAGAGTTTTGAGTCATATCCAGATGTGATTTAAAAAAAAAAACTGATTCAATAAGATTTGGAGTGTTCTTGAGCTGTGACAAAAGTGAATGAACGTTTGGACGTTCCTTGAGAATTTCGCTTTCACAGAGTCAAGGACAACGACAGTAGAGGTGTTCGGCTGTGTAGCACTTCAAACAGATTTACATTGATGCATAATGTTGAAAAAAATGAGCACTGGATTCAGAGGAAATTTAGATGAGAAATGCATGCTGATTATCAATTCGCTGACTGAGCATTACTTGTTTGCCAAATGTTTCATTCAGCTACAGTAGCATGTTCCCTACGCCAAATAGTGCAACTTGTAAAGTTGGACGTAACAGCAGTTCTTTTGGACAGCAAAGTGGAAACCTGTTCCTTTGAGGAACCAACATGAGTCATCGCTTTAGAGCAAGAGATTTGCCTTTAAATGGAGATGTAATAGCAGATGTGGATATAAAACTAGAGGCAATTCTGCATGGCCAGAGCCAAATCCCCAGATGTTGCTGGTAAAAAAAAAATCCAAATAATAAACTAAAAGAAATGTATTTAAAAATGGCTTTGGTGAGTGAATAAAACATCTTCAGGTTACGCATGTAACCATGGTTCCCCGAAGGGAACGAGACGCTGCGTCGAAACGCTACGGGAACGCCTCCAGCGTGACCACGCTCTGAATCACATGGGTAATCAGTCCAATGGATAGACGAGACGTCATGGGCGGGGTGACGTAGCGACCAGGAATCATAATAAGCATGTGCGGTGAAACCGGCGTCAGCTTCTAGGAGTGAAGCAAGCGCTGGAAGGGGTGCTGGAAGTATGGCCCTGAGATGCAGCGTCTCATTCCCTTCGGGGAACCATGGTTACATGCGTAACCTGGAGACGTTCCCCTTCAGGAACTCGAGCTGCGTCGAAACGCTACGGGAACGAGAATGCCCATGCCACCAGACTTGCAAATCCCTAACAACTAAGGCGAGAGAAAAAGGGAGCCAGGAATGGCTAAAGTAGGCGGGGGC